AAATTACTGAAAACTAGTGAAAACTCGTTGAAATGGTTAATTTATGTAAAATAATAAACAGGATAAAATTGAGATTACATAAACAATTTCTTACAAATTATACAATGTGCACACAGGACTAATAATAAGATACCTACTAGCAGTAGCGTATCCAGAATTTTTTTTCGGAAGGGGTTATAATTTATTTTTGTCAAATTTTATCTAACTAACCCCTTAACCCCCCCCCTGGATACGCCACTGCCTACTAGATAGCCTATAATATAGTCATTAATATAACAAATACATGGGTGGTCAGAAAATAGGCAATATTTTACCTACCTACTTGGTAAACAATATTTTTTTTTATGATTAATTACCTGGGTATTGGGCAAAAAAATTTAATATTTAAAGGGTACTGAAAATTAGGGCCACAGTTATATAACATATTATATTTTATAACAAAGACCGGGTCGTTTTCAATACTTATTAGTGTTATTACTTACTAGTGTCGTATTGGTTGACAAATAGTCACACCCAAAGTTAAAATTATTAATTCGAACGATAACTCTTAAGCCGGATTCACAGCTGCGTCGTGTGTCGTGTCGTGTCGTGTCGATCGTATTGTGATTGGATATTACTTTTTTGGTATCATGTAATAACCAAGGTGCAACCGAGTATACCAAGAATTGACTACTGCTCAACTTTTAAACCATATTGGTTACCAGTCGTAACCATATAATAACCAAGCCATCGCACGACACTGCACACGGCGTAGCTGTGAATGCGCCTTGATAAGACATGCGATACCATACTACCACATTGGTCCAGAATATTTGTATGTAAAGATTAGTGATTTGAATAGTATTAATAAATTCATTTTAATATAAATTACATTTATTAATTTGCCAAAGGCATGATTTTATTGAATACAATGAAAATACATGTACAATTATTATTTAGGTACCTGCAGTCAATTTATAATAAAAAATAATTAAAATAGTAAACATTAGGAAAAACTATTTTTTAAATTATGACCAACAGATTGTACAAGATCAAACCCGGTTCTTTCTCATTTTTCGTATTACTTTATTTTATTTTATTCTGTCCGACTAAAATCTGTTTGTTAATCTTCTGTGTACCTATTATGCTTCTAATTTTAATTTAAATATTTGATTGAACTTCCAATATAACATATACAATTCGTGGATATTTGTTTGTGACATAATAGAAGTTGTTTTTGAAATGTTGATGAAAAGATTTGACGGCATTTGTTGTTTCAAAACGTAAAACCCAACCTCGCATCGTCACAATTAAAATTTTCAAAAATATAATCGTTAAAATATGGTGTTAATTTAACGTTTTATGACATATGATTCATAAAACCACTCTCAAAGCAGTCACCAACTTCGTGTGAATTTAATTTTGTGTAAGAATTCTTGTTTTTCCTTAATTTTTCTTATTACTCGGAACTTTACATTTTGTCCTCCTCAATGCATCAACTAGATTTTCTTTCCCACTGGAAAAGATACTGAAGTTGAAAATCAAAGCAATATTTCGACTACTTATCGTGTATAGAGGCACGCACAAAAAAAAATGTTTAAATAAAAAATAAATACACACTTCATTGTAAAATCAATACATTCATCGCTCTACTCTGCAGAATCTAAAATACACACACATATTCTTAAAACCAATACAGCTTATGAACTCAATTTAAAGTAATAAGATATGTACGTGTGCTTTTCAATGAATAAATAATTCAATAGATTTATTATTTTTACTGTATAATATACAATACATATATGATATAGGTACACTTAATATTATAATATGAAAACGCAAAAGCTGTAATATTAATGGAAATATTTTCTGATTTACATTATTTTTAACACGAATCCCGGAAATGTAATACAATAGTAGTTAAAAATATTTACTTTTATAATTGCATTATGGTACCTACGTATTTCTAACTGTTTATTTTTCTTTTATATATTTAAAATTCTATTGTACTAGATACGAAATGTTAGTGAAAGAGTAGGTAGGTACGTCTTATTATTATCGATATAAAATATTAGTAAAGTGTGTAGTATTTTGATTTTAAATTTAAATAATTGCATATTTTAAAATGCACATACATTAAAAATGATAATTTAGAGTTAGCATAGGGCTTTCAGGGCTTTCATGATCAAATATTCAAATAAAAAAAAATAGTAATGCCATACGTATATTATAGGTGTACACGACGTGGATACTGTAGAGGGTTCTCTGTTATCAACCACAGAATAAAATGATCAAAAATAATTCATTTCTCGGAAACGAGGTTCATAGAATTATCTTTTGCGCCACACAGCGCCGTGGGGCATATTATAATATAACTTCTCCCACGTGGTTGTGTTGCATCTAAATTGGCTTTTTTTCAAATGTACTTAAAGTACCATAATAATATGTTATTACTTTGGAGGCGAGGAGGTCTTTTTTTGACTAAGATCAACTGACAATAATAATAATAGTTCTTCTCAGGAGATCGACTGATTGAAGAATTAATGAGTGTTGAAAAGACGCTATAATAGTAACAATATATTTATTTGGTATTTGTACGTAGGTACATGAAAAAATCCTGAGAACTCGCTTCTACAGTCTACTGTATATTACTATAGTAATTAGTAGGTTTAAATGTATTTCGAAGATCACATTATACTGTGTATAATAGATGAGTTAAAATTGAATTCAATGAAAAATAATTGTATACGAAAAACGATGCTGTGGAAACATATCAGAATCTATTTTTAGTGATAGTCCATCTATATAATACATATAATATTTATATTACGAATTAGTATTTTCCTCATTTAATATATTGAACTAAGTAATAGTTTTTCATTAGCATCGAACATAATTACATGTTATATACCTATCATAACATGAGTCAATAATGATGTAACGCAGAATGGTGTAAATAAGCTCAAGCCAATGTATTTTCGATATTTTTTAATTGCTACCTATAAGAAAAACTTTTGTTGAACCTTGTATTAAACGCTCAAGCTTTTTAATAGAGAAAAAACATAACCAACCTAACTCGAAAAAAAAACTAAAAAAATTTAAACATTTCAAGTCTCTATAAATGGTTAAGAAAGATCCAACAAATTTTTAAAATTACATCAAAACAATGGCTAGAAAATCTTAGTATAAATTGTTGGTAAAAATGTCAAGTTTTACAGTTATTCCTTTCTGAATTACAAAAAAAAAAACATGGTGACAAACAATTTCGTCGAAAACTGGTGTAACAGTTATTAAGAAAGTTGCTATAAATTTCTTACTTTGACCTCTCAACTAGAAATAATACCAACACACCACCAGCCAAGTTGAAGATTGAAGAACATATATTCTGCTCCAAAACGCGATGGCAGACCCAAAAAATAAAAAATATACTTAGTAACAAAAGTAAAACCAATACATTCCTCACTTCACTCAGAATCTATATATATATTATCTATATATATGTAGATATTCTATATTGGTTAAATATACACAATGTTGTTAAATCTTACTCTTAGAGTAATGGTGACTAGTTACAACTATTTTATATAATTTATACAATATACACTTTAAGCATATTTTGGGAGTAATTCTTGAAGAAAAAATATATCGTATAGTTATAGAATTTAATTTAAAAACAAATATAGTTGCGTAGGTACCATTTCAATTAAATTTAATTTGCTATTTTTTGTTTAGATTTAGATCACCTCAAGGTGGATATACAGAGGTGTAAACACTCTGATTATAAATTGATTGAAAAATGTACACCAGTTGTGATTCCTACCGGGAGCGCTGACTACCCGATGAGGGCTCATAATGTTTGTACTTCTATACGAAAATGCAATGCTTGCAAGTTGTAACGCCATAAAAAATAAATATATAAGCTATCAAATTAATTAAAATAATGAATAACTCAGATAGATTTTTCTTAAATAATTTTGAAACATAAATCTATCTTCAATTATACAATTATTGATAATTATTCACATTTTTTTTTTGGAATATTGATTTGTGGAGTAGATATAGACATGTTGCCTACCTGTTAAAATAAAAAATTTAAATTTATGAATTTATTGTAACGTTATCATATTAAAATATATTAATTAAAGTACCTACCTAATTGTAAATTTGTTATTTCCTTATACCTATTTACATCATATTATCCTAGTGTGTACTCTTTTGGCTTTTGCAATATTGTTATTCATTTAAATATCTACACAACCAACTCTTTTTATACAAAGGTGGTATGAAATTTATTTTTTTTACTTATCGAGTATTGTAGTATGCCTCTTAAGTGTTTTGTGTCTGGGTGTAACTCTGGGTTACCCAAACAAAACAAAATATATAAACAGCAGGGAATAAAACTGCCTTCGGTATTTCATCCTCCTGAGGTAGATATTTCTTATACTAATTAATAATTATTATATATTTATATTATTATGTATATGTATAGTCAATGAAAAGTTCATATTAGGGTAAATAATTCATTACTTTTTAGAACATGATTGATACATGGAATTTAAAAATTCCACGAGCCGATAGATCATTAACAAAAAAATATGGAGTATGTTTCAACAAAAATATTAATAAACGAAAATCTCCAACAGAAAGGTCAATAATACCAAACAATCGCAAGAAAAATAAACCCAGTGATATAAATGTTAGATATAATAATATTATGAAGCAATAACACATTCCTTCATTAGTTTAAATAATATTTATTAAATGACTATACAGCCTGTAAATGAAACAATTGTTAATCCGGAATTAGTCACTGATATAACAGAAAATCCTATAATTGAACCACTTAGGTATAATAATGTTCATATTGATCCAAATAATATTAACTATTAAGCTACCAGGTACAATGTGAGGTTGCATACTGATTACTCAGAAAAAACAGTTTTTACTCAAATCAGTGGCTTTCACAATAATAAATGTATTATGTTTATTACCCCCAACGTAGTTAAGGTAAGAGTTTTACAATGAAAAGAGTAAATTTGTCACATTCGTTCACAAACATTGTGAGTGGTGGAGAAATGTTGAATTCTCTTGTCAATATTCAACATTCATTAAAAGAAGATAAACAGCATAAATTAAACCTAGAAAAAAAATTTAATGAAATATTAGACAATGGTGATTTTGAAATATTCAATGATAATTTATACTGTGAAGATCAAATTACATCTTATATAGACAAACTTGCTCTAACCTACTTTGTTGGTTATGTTGCTCGAAGTGCCAAAAAACATTCATTAGCAAAAACTTGCAATGATTGTTTTAATTCTCTTATTTCAACATCAGATGATCATACTAATCTTGAAGTAGAAGTTCAAGAGTTTATAAATATGAGAATTAGAGGACATTTACTCAGTCCATCAGAATGTCTAATGAATATAATATACTGCGTTTAGACTGCTATTATAAAATATGTCATTAATAACAAAAGTATTAGTAGACATATTTTGGAACACGGTTAGCGTTTTTTAGTGTACTTTCTAATTAAATTCATGTTCTATATTTCAATTATATGTATGTTCAGTTCAATATTCTATAGTTATGGATGAAGTAAACATTACCGGAGCCCCTTCCAAAGTTGGCTGTCTGGAACATCAGAATGAATAATTGACCAAATATATTATTAATTTCTATTTGAACACCAGAATGATATTTGCATGTAAAAGGCATAAATGCATAATCGAATATCTTAATCAAATATCATACATGAAAAATACTATAAAAAGATTAAAAAAAATATCAAAATTAATATAAATATAAGCTACTACTTACCTACTGGTAATTGTTTTCCAATCTGGATATTAAAATATATGAATTAAAAGTACCATGTACGATATACACATATTATACATATTAAGTTACATTATTTAAAGTTTAAAATATTAATTATTAGATCATGAAGTCCGCAGTCCTTGTAATTACTAAATATACTAATTAGTAATTAGAATAAAATGCTAAATTGCATAATGCGCCATATAAACTTTAATGTGTTTGAGCCTTCATCGGGTAGCCCACTATCATAATGTAAAAGATGGCGAGTGTTTACACCTCTATATATCCACCTTGGATTACCTAATTAATTCTGACTATTTTTGACATTATTGTATAATGTATTATTATTTATTATTTTTTATGTGTAGTGTGTACGTATATTGATAAAATACATTGGTACCAACGACTTTATGGTACTTGAGTGATCGTTTTATAAATAGTAAAAATTCAAGTTTATTGAGCTTACTATTTACTCAAATTAAATAGTATTTGCAAATTGATTTAATAAAATATCTTATTTCATCAATATTTAACCATTTGATAAATATCCATGACTTTGTGGTTATACAATAAGTAGTTTTTATACTTTTATCTTAATAATATATTATTAAGTATTTATATATAAATATAAATTTGGTGGTTAAGAATTTAAATTCATTAATATGAAATAGTTTAGACAATACAATATTTTTAATATTGAAATAGGTAAAAGCAAATGGACTAAAGCAATATTAGTTAATATAATATTAATACTTTATAGTATTTGAACCCGTTCCTATATTATAATTAAATTGTTGTGGGTAAACAATGTTAAAGTACCTATACAAGTTTTAAGATAAAATATTTATGGAAAAATTAATCCTATTCCTTATTCCTTATTCAAAAGAACTTATATAAGAGTTACAAGTTATGGTTATTATATTATGGTCGTTACGGATATAAACAGTATCTAAATATTTTCGAATAATAGTCTTTAACGAACGAAGGAAAAACTTTGGTATTACCCGAATTAACTTGCTGTAGGTATGCAATTTTCAAACTTCACTGTAAGTCTTTACATCAGGTTTATTTTGTAATTTTTAACGGTATATTAATATATTATTTTACTGACGCTATTTGCATGAGTATGTCTGCACATGGATGTATTTACCATTTCGGCACGTGTAACCGTGTAAAAATGCCTTTGGTACTTTAAAATATGCCTCTGTCTGAGTACAAATGTAAGTAAAATCGTGTACTATTTTTATTTATATTGTTGATGGGGATTTGTCCAATAAATGACAACATCACGCTGTCCTCATATCAGTGCTCATTGTTGGATAATTGCCTGTTTTGTTATCGATACCCAAGGAAAATTATCTATAAATAAAGAGTTTATATAAATATATTTTACCTATATAAAGATAAAAGTTGTCCATATTAGAGCAGGCCATTTGAGAAATATATACCACACAATTTAATTTAAAAAAATATATTACATTTCAAGACCTGCTATAGAGGTATATTTGAGTCTTAAGTGTTTGTGAAATATCTAACACAAAATACCGAAAATTTAATGAAACCAATAACGACAAAAGATTTCAACGAGGCAGGTCAGGTGGACTATAATAAACTTCAGAAATTTCACAGATGTCAAATATAAATGGGTTTTTTTTTTAAATCAATGATTTATTGATTGTAAACAGGTTTGTGCTAATTATTTTCGCCCAAGAAAAATGAACTGTATTTTTTAAAATGTTCCATTGATTAAAATTATTAGTAATAATAATAAAATAAGTAAGTACCTATACATGAAACAAAAATTCAACAAGGTCCAGGAAGGGGGTGGGCGTTCGTATAGGTACGCCCCTGCCATAAAGATAAGGTAATATTGAGAGGTTAAATAAAGATATTAAACATTAAATACATAAACAAATCAAAATATCTTTGCCAAACTACCAAATATGTAACTGCTGTTATCACAACTCTGGAAGTTGCAATAATAAATAAAAAAATTATAAAAATTAGAGTAAGTGGGTGACGTTCTACTGGGCCACTAAATGGGTGGTGTTAAATTTGAATTCAATAATATTATAATATCATTGTATATAAAAAATGATTCTGAGCGGATTTTCATACTATCATATTTGTACATAGCAATTTACTTTAAAAGTTTCAAGTACCCACGAATAATATTTTGAAATTACAACACAAAACTAAAGTCGTTATTCTTCGTTAAAATATCTAATTTTGTAAGATTTTAGACTTAAAATAACAGTAGTTTTCAATCCTTCGCTATAAAAATTGAATATTTTATAAATTTATAACTGCAAGATAATTTGTAAATTTTCGATTTGATAAATATTACCAAAATTTGAAATTTAAATGCTTATAAAAAAAATCTTGTCTATGTATTTTTAATAATTTAACCTAATATTATAACAATATTCAAAGAGCCTTGTATTAAGTTTTCAAACTTTTAGACTCAACAAATAAAAATGTATTGATATTATTAGAAAAAAAAACTAAAATATTTGAAAATAATAATTTCCGTCAACACTTCAAAATGAGTTAAAATTGTTTGAACATTGTATCATATGTAGAAGATATAAATATAAAGATATGGTGTACATTTTAAGTATCTACGGTTATTCATTTTTAAATTGTAAAAAAAAAGAAAATCGCTCCATGAGAAATCGAGTGAATATCCAATGTTGTTAAAAATGAACTCAAACGCTCATACAAATGTAATATGACTTTCTAATTCACATTTTTTTTTATATAAAACTAATAATAAATGGTTTTTTCATTTACACTAATAACAACTTACGAGAACCTTGTATTATATTTTTAAGATTTTTGACGGAGCAACATTTTTTTATCGAAAATCGAAATTAATAAAAACTAATAATAAACGATAATTTCTTATGCCTATAAATAGCTCGACACAAATCAAAATATTTCGAAAATTCTATGTTATATAGAAAATGATAATATAAACATTCAGTGAAAATTTTATATATCTGCAATAATTTTTTTTATAGTTACACCAAAAACCAAAACACACACACACACACACCATAGTTAAATTAATAATTTCATCGATTAGAATCTAAAAGAATTATGTTATGCATTGTAATCAATAGACCTATTGAATTACATACTGATACAAATATGCTTATTTTATTCATATATTTAAAAGGAGATAAATGTTTAAACAATTTAACAATAATAAGTATCTATATTTGATGTATAAAACAAAAATATTTACCTACTTATATTTGTATCGATAATAAAATAATAATACACATGTTTGGCATGTTGCAATAGTGATGAATAGATTTACTCAATATGGACATCCCATAAAGGAAAAATGTCCACTATGCCAAAAAATATATCTATCCATTTCATAAAATGGTATCCATATTGTGAATAATACAGTTTCACATGATATGAATATTTTTCATGATGTGAACAACCACTTTACGTAAAAAACGGTTTCATTAAGTGGATGCGAGTTACAATGTGTATAATGTATCAGCTGGTGATGATGACATATGGTCCATAAAAAAAAAAGTAAAACCTACGCATAGTTATAACTTAAGCTATAGCTTAAAATTTAAATAACTATTGGTAAAAGCGTATTATGATTTGATTTATAAAAACAAAAATACCATTGAGATTTATTTTGGGTACAAAATATAATGCTTATATTGAAATTTGTGTTGAAAACACATGGGTATAATATTATAGTCTGCTGGGCACTGATGTAATGATAACTACCCATTCGCTTTTATTCCCTACATGGCCAACATATTGTGATATGCAGTTCGGATCGCGTTGTTATCAGCCATTTAAAACATATTCAAAACACTCTTGTGCTCACCTAAAGTATACCTACACTATGTACCTACACTATGTACATTCATTAATACATCATAATAAATACATTGAGTATTTGTATTGAATATGTTATTTTCGGGTAGGTAACTGTTTTGTGATCGGTTATCGAGTCCAATTCAATTGGTAAGCGAATTGTTTATCTTTTCGATGTTTATATTGCATTTTACACAACACAAATATAATACCTTTCATTATAGCTGTGTGTTGCTGTTATTATTTCACTACTGTTGAATTTAAACAATCTACCTCTTGATTTCATAATACAATATATAACGGGTAGGTATTGTGGATGGTTAACTGAAGAGGTCGTTTAACTTCATCACTGATCACTAATGACTATAGAATAATGGCATTTTATATCCACCAATGCGATTATTATCGTGGTAAATGCTATATAATTTATACGTGAAGGTATGTATTCATAAAAATTCTAGTAGAAATTATTACTACACAATGCACAGTCCATATTATTATAATCTACAGGTGAAACAAATACCTGAGTGTATAGATTTGATACATTAAATTTAATAATAACAGCTGTAATTAGCTTGAAGTCACGAGTTTGTATTTGATTAAAGTTTCGTTGTTTGGAACTACAAAATTATGTTGGCAATTGCCAGTAAAACGAGTTCAATTTTTGAATCTGAGTGAAGTGATGAATTTACTGGTTTTATATAATGGTATAAATATTAAATTTTTGTGTTTCTGTTATAATATCTTTGAGGTTGATGGGAGGGTTGGG